TGACTGCCCCGTTTCAGCTCGGTTCTGCCCCGGGGCAGGCGAGGAAACGTGTGAAATCTCGGGCTTTCGGTGCCAGGACCTCCCAGAGCCCCCTACGCTGTGCCACGGGAAAGCGGGACGGGAGAAGGCGACGACCGACGCGAGAGCTTCGTCAAGCCGGCTCTGGGGCACGAGGGGAAGCCGCAGCCTCCCCAGGGGCGCGCCCTGCCTCACGACGTGCCTGTACACAGGCTGAATGACAAACGTACTGCAGCGCTGTCTCCACTCTCCGCCGTGCCGGTCCGTTCATCCAGGAAGGTCCATTTTGTCCCAGTTAATCACAGGTTTGGAGAAGGTGAGCTGAAAAGTCATCCTTGTACTTCCTTCACCTGAAAAATGCACTAATGAACCCGTCTCTTGGCTTTGAGGCCAAAGCACCGCTCGTATAGATAATAGTAAAGGTTTCCTTCTAGTAGACGTGTAAAATACAGCTTCTGGGTTGTTTTTTTTTATTCCTAAGTGGATACGTGCTCAAAATACCCTTCCATACTGGCATAGCCATGACTGGATGTAGCATCAGCTGGCATAAATCCCTGGGTAGGAACTCAACTCTGGCAGATAGATTTGATCAGAAAATAAAAGGGGGTTGATGTTTAATTTGCTTTTAAACTTGCTGTTTGGCAAACAAGCCTTCCTGAAGACAGGAAACTGCTTAGCAAGTGAGTCTGGAGAGAATCTGGAGTTCGCTTGACGTGCTTCAGTCTTCTAGTTGCAAGCGTCAAGGTAGGTGAGCGCAGTCAGAGCTGCTTGTACGCACACACCAAAACCACCTGGCCTCCTCCTGCCCACAGAGCAGTGCGATGAGCTCCCGCAGAACTGAGGCAGAGCGGGCAGGAGCCGGGCTGCGGAGGTCTGCACGAGTGTCTGGACCGTTCCCAGCGTCTGCACTTCTCCTCACATACACTGGACGCGCGTGTTACCGTTCCCACTGCTCCAGGACTGCTGGTCACGCTGCAACACACCGCTCTAATGAGTAAAGCACGAAAATCCAGCAAGATGATTAAGAACAAATCAAAAAGTAGAAAAACCAAACAAGAAACATGAGTAATCAAAGTGAAATGTGGCCCCAGCTCAAAGTAAAATACAAAGAACACAGCGCTGCCAGGGGCAAATCCCAGAGCAGCCGGTTGGCTGCCAGCTTGGATTGCGGAGTCCTCCAGGGCTGGGGGTTTCTGGGGGTTTCAGCCATCGTTGCCTCCGAAGACACCAACACGGTCTGCAGAGGCTTTGTGTTGCAACGCAGAACATGCCTGTGTCTGGTAAATCAGCGACAGGAGAGCAGCAATTCCCGAGCACCACCCGGGGGGCCGAGCAGCTGACTGCGTGGTTTCAGCCAGAAGTCACGGGCGGAATATTGCCTCTCTTCTTTCTTCCTTCCTCCCTTGCCAGGCTCTCCCCTTCCCCCACCTCTCCTAACACATTTGAAAGGCTCCTTGTGTATTAGTTACAGAAAGAAAAAAAAAATGCAACTTTAGGAAATTCCTTTGCCTTGTCAGCACTGGAGTTTTGCTCAATTTCTTCCCCAAGACCCGAGCCGTCAGTGTAGCTGCCAGAGCACAAATTCCCACTGTACATAAGTAAAGCTGTTTGCCCGAGTTTGTGTGGCATGATTTGCCGTGCTGCTGTTAGCCTTGGCTTCACGCAGGGGAAAACGTCGTCTCTGAAAGGGGCAGCTTTGAGGGGGCTCAGAGATACACCAGCCCTCCAAGGGCCTGCGCTGCTGCAGCTGCTCTTGCTCCAGCGCCAGCCTAAACCACCGGCTCGGCACACGAATATCGGACCAATAAAACAAACGGGCTCCAGTAAGTTGCAGTCGGCGAGCAAGTTCCTGCGCATCAGCAAAGCCGTTGTAGCTGTTCACACGAGCGTGCCTCGTTACGCCGGCGGTGAGGTGCTGTGACCCAGCGTCAGCCCCGGTGAATGGGAGGCAGGCTGGCGTGCTTCATCTTGCAGTCAGGTGAGCCCAGAGAAAGCCTGGGCGGTGAAGACAGCTCAGGCGATGGGCAAGAATTTGTCGTGCTGCCCTACTGCCTGAGCCTCTTGGCCGGGAAAAGAAAATATAGCGTGGCAGACGGAGCTTGTCTAGATCCCAACAGCCCTTCTTCTCCCTGCTTTCCAGTCTACTCTGAGGCAAAATTAATTCAGATGAATTCTCCCCCAGTGTTCCTTTAATTTATTGTAATAGCCTCCATGGGTCCTCACCACAGCCTGGCCACTCTTGTGCCGGGAGAAGGCACACCACAAAGGTTTCAGAGACCATCAAGCACACACAGCAGAAAAAAGAAACCTCGGTCGGCAACCAGGGCCCTGTCTCAGTAGGCACTACCCACACAAGTCGGCTAAGAAATAATGCAGCTCTCACATGGTTTATAACTTCATTAAAATATGCTGGAATGGAGCTGCCCTTGGAAGACGGC